TGAATAGAATATTTTGTAATTGTTGAAGTAGTAGGGTTGTTTGATGTTGTTGATCTTGTTTGGTAAAAATTTACAACTTTAGGTTTCGCATTTACTGAATATTTGCATTGGTATTTGAAAATAAGAAAATTTGGAAAAGGTGGAAGGAGAATTATCTCCTCGAATTACGGTCTGCGCATACTTTTCTAAATCCATGTCCTGAAAGGAATCTTAAAAAGGGTGAGGTTGTATTGCTGGAGGGGTCGACGAAATCAAAATTTTTATGGCCTATTGGAATTATAGAACAAGTTTATAAAGGTAGGGATGGGTATGTGCGTTCATGTTTGATTCGTACTTCTCAAAGACTTATCGAAGACCCGTCCAATTAATCTATCCTTTTGAAGTTTAAATTATATATACAGTCAAAGTCGTTAATAATTCCGGACTCGCCGGACTTCGGCGATTCCGGATTATCGATTTTTCCGGATTATAGATCATCAGTTTAAATCTGGTAAGATGGCAGGCAGAAATTACAAAATTAAAAATATGAAACCATAATTTATGAAATAAAGAACAATTATGATCTAAAGGGTATCAAAATTTACAAAAAGAAAAGACTTAATATTTATTTGTTTACTTTATTAAACATTTCTTTCAATGTAAGTTGTTTAAGTTGCTTCGTTTCATGTGATAATACTTTCTCTTTAATTCTCATTAATTAATACATAATTTCTTGTTTAGTTACAAAGTTCCGCTGTTCAAGTCCTATAATTGCTGTGTCGAGAATACCGACTAATTTGTCAATCGAAATTTTTTCGTTTTCAATAACCTCTGTCACTTTCTTCACTATCGGAAGCGAATTATAATGACGAGGAACTTGTTTTAAATCATATGAAAGACGGAGTACATCGAGATGAAATACTACATTTGGTAAGGAATTATAGGCCAAATAAAATAAAAACATCTGCCCTGAAGATAAGGATAGTGCTGACAGACCAACTTCCAATTCATTGCGCGCCGCGGCGTTCCCCCCCCCCCCCCCAGCCAAGCGTGAAATTGATAAACAGATTTCGGATTTCGAAACATACTTTCGCTTTAGATCCTTTACATATTAACAAATATATATCGGAAATTCTATTTGATATAATCGAAAGTTTAAGCTTACTTTTATAAAATTGCTCTAACAGTCTGCAAAAAATAATAAGCCGGATCCAATTCGAAGATTAAGGAACAACGCAATTTGCAACATTAATTGAATTAGATAATTTTAGCTTAGCTAACACCGTCCGTTATACATTAAACGCGCATGCGTAAACGTTTTATGACCATGCGCACAAGCATATTCATAGCCGTAAAGGTCGTACGCGCGCACGTAAACGCCTATGCGCATTCGTCAACGCGACGCATGCGCAGAAAGTTTGTAGCTTTGAGGTCCAGATTATAGATCATTCCGGATTATGGGTGTCCGAATTAACGACTTTTGACTGTATATGTTTGTTTCACGTATTGTATTTAATTTGCAATGTAGTTTTCAGTATTAATTTGTGCATATTGGTTTTGATTATATCTAAATATATTATTGATATGTAAATTTAATGTGCTCTTAAAAGAGCACAGGTGAGGTGTGTTGGAACTTTTCATAGAATAGAGGGCGCTGTTGCGCCAAAGAAATTCTGTTTTTTTTTTTACATTATGTAACTGTGGTTCGCCATTGCGATGTGTGTGTATTACTGAGATATATTTTGGTGTTTTCATTAAATATAAATGAAAGGTATCGTTAATCGCTTCGTAACATATATCAAATCTACACCCAGTCAAAAAACTCTTGATCATAAGGATCTTAATCATTTATTCATAAATAAATAAATAATTCGTGAGTGTTAGGTATGTTGTTTTTTTATAACATAAAATTTTATTTGGACTAAACAAACACGTAAAGCTTAAAAATAAACACGGTTTATTAGAAATAGTTTTGAAACATTGCATTTCCTGTGCTCAAAGAGATATATAAAAATTAAGAAAGTATTTGGATATTGTGGAAAAGTGTGAAAGTAGCCAAAATTTAGTGGGATTACGTTTTAAATTTTACTAAAAGACTTGAATTCCCAGAATATTCTGTTTAAACGTTAGCAGTTAATTCGAAAACATGAGTTAAAAAAATGCGAGGTTTCATTAGCTATTCCAAAACGGATAATTTTTCACTGAAAGAAGGTACTGAAACTAATTAATGAGATGGTGAATGTGTTGAATGCTAATAAAGCTACTGCTCATAATAGATAATGTTGGACTGCTGACGATCAAAATAATTTAAAATAAAATGGCCAGATTTTCCACGACTAATCCTAGTTAAGGCATCTTTGTCCACTTGGGGTGAAATCATGCATAAGAATATTCGAAACTTTTTTTTTTCACTTTGTTAGTTATTTCACTCCCAGCACTTGAGTTTAGTGATGTCGTTGGAGTTATAGAAATAAGGAAAGCGAAGACATAATTACATTTAGTTCTTCAAGGGAGTAGTTATTTTGTAGCATACTATGAGCCAGTAACGTCAAGAGCTGAAATATTTCTGGTCCGGAAGCCTTGCAAACCTTTATTGCAATAACCTTGGTTTCACCCGCTTACAACGTAAATACGACGCAGTTTCACGTTTTCCTTAGGAAAGGGTCTAAGCCTTAGAAAACGAGGGTTTGTATTCCTTAGGGAGAATAGCCTCGGCATGCTTTACCGTATTTGATTAAACAAACATATCGTAATAACTTCCGAGTATATTTTTCCGTTTATTCGCTAAATTTAATAGCAAATATTCTTTTTTTAATGTTTTAAGCCGCCAATGTTCTTAAAGTATAGCCCAATTAACGATGTATATCGAAAGAGATTATCATTTCAGCAGTACGGAAATTAAATGTAATCCAGTCGTTAATACCTTATTTTAAATTATAAACCGTGAAGTTTGCTAATGTAAACCTGAGTCTAAAATTTCTAGTTTACCAACACATTTTATGTTATTTATTTTTCTTCAGTATATAATCCTGTTTACGGAATTTAAAAAATAAATTCGGCTCCCAGAGCAGTATTTCAAGACAGATTAAAGGAATAAGCAGAATTTGTATGCCTCAAACACGATTACGTCTTTGAATATTTCATACTTATCTTGCAGAAAACTTGTTTTTACTATCTAAATCAAGAAAATTGTTGCTAAAGAATTTTGCCATATATTTTACAAAGCATGTAAGTCTTGTAAGGTAAGTGCATTTTATATGCTAATTTATTCCTGGTAAAATTAAATATCCTTTTCGGAGAATAAACGTTGCTCTCGACTCAAATAATAATGATAAATAGGGATAAAAATTATTCTATCGCAAAATCTCGTAGCATAAACTATTTTGAAAATAGCATGTAACTACCAGTTAATATGTTTTTAATGAAAATATGACTTACCACTTATAATACTTGATTTATAATACTTATTAATACTTGACTCCTAAATTTTAAATTTTTTATCTTTAAAGAAAATTCTGTTAACTGGATTCTTGTATGTTTCTTTGAGTTTTAAGGCCATTTTATCCTAGTTTTTTATAGAAATAAACAGATTTACTATTTTCTTTATATTGAGTAATTGATTAAATCAGAGGAGTTCTCGCAAATCGTCTTATTAAATTAATTTCATGAAGGTCTCTGAGTTCGATATTTCTTGTATTCCCAGTCCATCTAGAGAAAATCATGATGCCATGCAATTTTTTATAGAAAACCCAGGTACAACACTTGTAAATGGATAAAAGAGTTAATTATACATAGGTGTTTTGTACGCGTTTCGGTTCCCGGCGAAGTTGGCTGCATGTGGTTGACTATGTGTAACTTGACTTTTTAACGAGCCGGTTTCCCCTCGAACGTCCTGCACGATGGCATCTTTCCTAAAGTAGACAACCCTCGATTATATTGTCATATCCAATTACCCAGCTTTAGATTTTAATTCAAGAACTACAAATAGTGTCTTTCTGCATTTCCTGGGCTTGAATTTTTGACATGGAGTCTTGAATATAATAGAAACTATATTGGCAATTGGAAAAATGTCCATGCCCAAAAGGTTTATACTTCCTTAATCTATGCTTTACATTTAAATGTTAACTATTAATATTTTTATTATTTCTATACAGTGGATGCTATTTATTATTATTTAAACTTCACAGACGATAATTTGGTTTCTGTACGCGAATTTGATGTGCTTCGTGTTGGCACTTGCGGAAAATATTTTATCAAGCCTAGTGCTCTAGCAATCCAATGGGCTCACCAGCGGCCAAGCGGTAAAGTCGCTGAACACTAGTAGTTCGGTCCGAGGTTCGAATACCGCGAACGGGCTGGCTGCATGGGCGTTTTCGTGGTTTTCCCCATGTGTAACGTGTATACGAGCCAGTTTCCCTTAGAAAGTCCTCCACGAAGGCATCCCTATCCATAGGCAGATGGCCCTAGTGTGCTTTGCCGTAATTAAATAAACCAAATCAAACCAACTAGCAATCCAATGGAAAAAAATTGTCACAGGTATTTCTTTAATAATTAGGATTTTTTTATTAAAAAAAGTCTGTACACGAGGTAAATTCATAAAGTAACAATTCGATTTTTTTCGTACTGTTTGCCATTTATATTTCGAATAGCTCATTTTAAGTCTATGGTTTTATGCAATGTGTCTTGAATTTCTGGGTTAATTCTTAAACTAATAAACTTATCACAACTTTTCAGCTTAAAACTGTTAAACTGTTTCAGGATTTAAAATGGAATTCGAAAACGAAGATAGGGTTGAAAATTGTTTTCCGATTTTTATATTTTTTGAGTTTATGATAAATGTTTCAGCTTTTTTGAAAGTTTTATAGGCAGATTATTTTTTGTGATATGATGCTGTATTTTGGAGCTTTTAGAATACACTTTTTACTTTTCTTATTTTTATGATCTTAGTTTATCAAGAAAATGCTGACTTGTATCTTGTTGGATGTGTATCACAAATTTATATTTTCCTTTTTTTATTTCAGAAATCAAGATTTTTAATTTTGGGAAGAAATTAATTGATTCATGAGAAAAACACACTGAAGTGACACTTACATTCCTATTGGTTAATAAGACCTATTGGTTAATAAGACGTATCCACTGCCAGTTTCTATTCTTGCTAACCTCATCAGACCACTGGTAATTTCTATTCCATTAGAATATTTGTTTGTCGTTTAAATGCGTAATTTGCTTCCCTGTGACATTTCTCATATTACAAAGCCATGCAGAGAGAGTAACAACTGAATTAAGATCAATGTGCTTTCTGGAGAACACACGGAAGAGCTCCAGACGCACTTCCTTTATCATTGCCCAAGTTTATTCCGTCAAAAGATTTAATTACAGAGTGCGGTAGTTCATTAAAATAACAAAGTTGCGGAGCTGTATCTATCCTGCTTTGAAATGTTTGTCTAATTTATGTTGATTTGAAAGCAAGTTGTTATTACTTTTAATTCTTTTCCTCTGGTGGTTATGTGTGCTGAAACATCAGTGAATGCTTCTAGTTATTTCTCATGAAAGATTCTTATTCAGCTTTAAAAATGAAACTCTAGAAAGAAATGTTTGATGTATGCTAAAGGTCGAAACAGTTTTTTAAAGCCATTCCTTGAGCTTCGAAGTATTACAGACTAATTATTATAGCTAAATATAGCTTGTACTGAACAAGCAAATTTTAAGTGCACTCGCGATCAGATTATCTGTATATTTAATTACTGCGCACTTTTAAAAGATTTTCTTCCAATAATCGTGGCTCCTTTTCCTTAGCAGAAACGGTGAACGTTGTACATTCTGAAAATCATTATTAATAAGAGCTCATTAGCATAAACTATTCGATTTACTTTGCTATGCTGCCGAAAGGAAAGAACACAGTACTTGGCATTAGATTTCAGAGGATTAAACCAAAACACGAAACTTGTTATGTGTCCTTTTATAGGGTTTATGTTCACTGTAGTGTCATCAAGCATTACATGTATTTCTCTTTACAATAAACTAGTGTTTTTGAGCACGCTGTAAAAAAAAATCATCACTTCTGGACACCACAGTGCGTCAATCGCTCCTTGTGTATCTGTGGACATAATCTTCGAATGCTGATAGTTTCATTTATTTTCTTGTAATACGTCTGTGAGATTTTTGTGAGAATATTACGCTGTGTATCTCGTGCGGAATTAGTATTGAATCCGGTGCAGTACGTTGGTATGTGTTAAAACATAAATTAAACTGATTCTGCTGGGGAAAATATGCAGAAAATTTATTATGTCCTTCAGAATTTTGCCGAATGCTGCTAATAAGCAGTTGTTGACGGCTAGCCTGGCTATATCTTTTCTGTTTTGCGAAAGTCCTCACAACATTGTTAGTTATGCAGTCTTGATATCAGCAGAAAAATAGGTTTGATCTTTGAAAAGCATTTCGAATCTAGAAATCTCCATTGCGTCCAGAGTCGGTATTTTTAGCTGCTAAACTATGGAGTATGTGATGAATTTGGGGAGAATTTTCACAAACTATGGGCGAATATGTAACAAATGCAGTATTATAGAAGAAAATTTGTAATTTGATACTAATCGAGCTATTTGAGGACCCACCAGTGGTCGAAAGGTAAAGTGGTAAAGACGTTGGACACTGGTAATTCCATCCGGGTTTGATTTCTTGCGAACGGGCTGACTACACGTAAAGGATCATGGTTTTTCTCATACGTAGCGTGAATACGAGCCAGTTTCTATTTAAAAAGGTGTCCTCTACGAAGGCATTCCTCCCCTTAGATAAATAGCCTTTGCGTGCTCTTTGTATATCTCCATTATTATCTCTTTGTGTATTTCCTTTATTTAAATAATCCAGTCCAACCGATTTCAGTATCGATAACAAAACAAAAATTATCTGTCCATATCTTCTGATGAATTCTGGAAAGATATATGATAACTTCGCAAACTATTCCACTAAATCACTAGCCCTCCAATGAGGTAATTGATTGATGAATTTCATCTTGGTCAATCAATCAGACCGGAGTTCTCTGTTTCTTTGCATTTAATGGGCTTAAGTAGCCGAAACGTGTCGTCATGAAGATCCAATAGCCATTGTAATTTAAAGTGTAATACGATCTATACCGTATTTTCAAACGGGCATTCTTTTGAGGTAACGTCTAACCTATAAATCAATTGTCAGCAACTAAATGATTACGATCCAAAGCCCGTTTATCATTTTTCGTCTAGGGAATACTCTAAGTGTAAATAACAAGCAGGTTTAAATATAAACGCCAGATATCTTGCAGTATCCGACTTCTAACATTCCGAACTGGTTATGAAATATGAATGAAAAATAAATAGCTTAATCTCGCCAAGTTTGGTACCTAATGAGATTAATTATGTTTATTACCTACAAATTTAACTCATTTCTTTGATACATTTGCGGAGCTTTCTGCTTAACCCACTAAGCAGTCATTTACTTTCGTACTTTTTCTTTCATCAAATATCAACGCTGAATTGCTAATTTACCCTTTTTTTCCCTGGAGCTCTTCCAACAAACATTTATTTATTTTTTTCTCATTTGTTTCGAATAATATAATAAATGCTTCAACTAAAGCTGATCTTTCAAAAAATGTTTTTTGCTTTCTCGGAAATTAACAGTTTCTGAAAACAAATCTTACATTCATTAGCGCTAATGCAGTCATATCATTCTTCAACAAAAGTATATGTGATATAAACATTAAAAACGCACAATATTAACGCGAATGAGGAATATTAGAGGGAAATCCTCAAAACTCTTTGGAACAAATTTTGATTCCAGAAACATAATTTCTGGTGTTCTTATTTAATAATAATCTTTATTTTGAATCATTTCAAAATTATTTCATCAAGAAAGGATTTGGTGATATAATATCTGTACCTTTTATTGAATTAAAAGGACAATATATCTGCAATCTATTAATAAGAAATTAAAAACTAACGGCGTTGACGATGTAGTAGTTACTTCTAGTAAAAAGAATAAAAAATTCTTTCTGTCTTTGAAATTCCACTTCTCTTGAAAGTTTCGAGTTCACACCTAAAAGTTCAGTACATCAACGCATGTCATGTACATCATGCTCAGACATCAACGCATGTCATGTATTGATGTATCGTTTCAGCTTCAGGATTTTACCTTATTCAGCGTTTCAGTTCTGACATTTGGGTTTACTTTAGGAGTACATGATTTTAAAATTCCCTTTATATGATACTACTACTTCAATAAGACTTTGCATTGAAAAGAAAGTTCACACTCCATTCAAAAGTTAAAGAACACTTTTACTAGCAACTGGAGATAAATCAAACTGGATATTTTATAATAAAATTTTGTGTTTTTCATCCTGTGTAAGTATAAAAGAAGAACAACAGTTATAAAATATATGAAACATCGAAACAAAATTACCCAGCGATCTGTGTGATTTACAATAAGAGATATGCTATACAATATCTGATCATCGAACTATTACTTCCGATTTATTTTTCTTTCAGTGGCGCTTAATTAATTATATTCTGAATTGTGGTAACTTGTTTTATTTTTAAATATAATTTTAGTTTGGTTTTTCTATTCATTTCTCTAAATTTTAAGAAACCTCCATTGTCTTAAGATGCAAATTGGCTTAAAATACAGTAATCTCTTAGTTATATAACTCTCGTCTGTGCGACTCTATCGATTATAATATTATTTTTCCCTGTTCGGGCGAGAGGAAGAATAAACTTTAAATACTGAAATTCCCCCCTTTAAATACGCCACAATTAAGCTCACTTCCAGCTATCATAGCAAATATAAAGAAGTTATAGAGTCCCACCCTCTATGGTAATATAAATTAAATGAGAACTCTGAAAGACGTAAGAGAATTATTTCTTTGTCTTGGAAATTACAACAGAGACTTGGAAAGGGTGTAAAAGACTCTTTTATTAAAATCAGTAGATTAACAGAAGACACTGCTCGTGCTTACAGAACCAGCCAGCATTTATGGTGCAACTCTAAAGTAAAGAATTTAGCTAACTAAATCGTAAATTATCCCAAAGGCTATACAGACAAAAATGCCCGCAAGTTGCCTCAAACTAATATCGGCATGACAGACCTAATGGCGAGAATGATGAAACGCCTCAGAGAAACTGGCGGAAGTCTTCTGCTATGTTGTTAAGCGTATTGCTAGAAAAATATTTGTAATTTTTTCCAATTTTAAATGTCTTTACAGGTCAGATTTTAAGAGCATGAGTTAATGAAAATCTTCGATCTCATTTTAGAATAAAGTCTTTCAATCAACAGAAAACAACCCAGAAGCATCCAAAGGAAAATCTTTAGCGAAAGAATTCTACGTAGTTTTACTTTGAAACCTTGATAGGAATCGTGAAGAAAAAGGAATCTATCAGAAATTTTATATTGATCTGGCAACATATTCGAAGAAATGATCAAGAATTCAAAATGGATAATTTCAAATTTTGGTGTTAGCTCAAAGAAATAATATTTTTAAGTTACCATTAGCAGTGAGTTAATGAAAGTTAAAATCAAATTTCAAAATTGAGAGGTTTTTCACCTTATTGGGGATGGCTGGAAAATCTGAAGTTACTACGTGGACTAGACATCACTTTCTTATCTGAAAAATTGGCTACAACATATCTTTAACTGGGAAGAAAAGAGCTTATTCTATCCTTTTTTGCGAAATACAATGCATTGGATTTCAAAGAGAGATAATTACCCTGGTATTAAATGTAACTAAGAGTGTAACGCTGATGGAAGCGAGAATTCAATCTCCATTTATCAGTGAAATCAAGCTGCATGAAAACTATGAACAAAATTACTGTGATCGCAAGCAAATAGCAAAAGGCTTGAAAGTTTTACAGACATTTGAGTGAACATGATAAAATGATCAGAGGGAACTCAAAGATCTTATTATTTATGAATCATTCTTTTATATAGCTATATGGATTGGATTGGATTGGATTATTTAATTATGGCAAAGCACACGAGGGCTATCTGCCTAAAGGGAGGGATGCCTTCGTGGAGGACTTTCTAAGGGAAACTGGCTCGTATACACGTTACACATGGGGAAAACCACGAAAACGCCCATGCAGCCAGCCCGTTCGCGGGATTCGAACCTCAGACCGAACTACCAGTTTTCAGCGTCTTTACCGCTCGGCCGCTGGTGGGCCTATACAGCTATGTGATCCTATATTACTAACACATACACATGTCATTTTCTTCCAGCAAAGTGCACTTAAATTAACAGATTTCAGCCATTAGATCTCAGGAGTAAAAGTCAGTAAAGGTATATTATAAAAATTATATAGTGAGAAGAGTTATTGTTGTTCTTGAAAATAAGATAAGGGAAAAAAGGATACGTTTCGATCTGGATGCTATATATGAGCTGACTTCGTTCCTGGAGTAAGGTTATAAGGTATATCTCCCGCCTTCTTAGCATACCTTCGTGGTGGAGTGGTCAGCACGCTCGGCGCGTATTCGAGAGACCCGTGGTTTGAGTCCCGGCGAAGGCGTTGCTCATTTTTCACCTCTCCTGCTTCGAAATAACCTGATGTCTCTACGGTGGCGCCCGAACTAAGAAAATGGTGGTGGATTATGATTCTTCACCACCAGGATTTTGCGATTAGGTCCCCTAAACCCCAATCGCCGTTTAAAGGGTGGGTTATATAAGGTATTTCTCAACCTTTCTTAGCATGCCTTCGTGGTATAGTGGTCAGCACGCACGGCGCGTATTCGAGAGGCCCGTGATTCGAGTCCCGGTGAAGGCGTTGCTCATTTTTCATCTCTCCTGCTTCGAAATAACCTAATGTCTCTACAAGGTCACCCCAAAAAATCTGTAACTGCTTCAATTGAGCAAGGGATATTTTGTTTGATGGACAAGTCATTTTATCAGAAAAAAAGAGAGCCCCCATAAATTTAATATTGATAAACAAAAATGGAGTAGACA